AATTCCAGAAAGACTTGTATAATATTGCATCCTACACTTAGCAAATCAATTATCTTAGTCCACTAGCAGTCCCTAGACACAAAAAAACTCATAACCAGTTCAGATTAATTGCTTAAATCATTAGATTCTCAAAGATATTTAACCTGAATGAGGCAGGCAACCCCCACCCCCCAAGGACAAGCGGCAGTTGTAAACCCAACAGAACAGACATGCATAGGATTGTACTGCATATTTTCTAGAAAAACCTTGAGGTTCTGGAATTAATAGTTCTCCCATACTATGCACTAATTCTTGACTTCAGGTGGTCTTGGCTGTTTCTCTGATGAGGACAAAAAGGCTGCTTTGGCATCATGTAATGGACAGGAATTGTTGGCTCCAATGCTTACATTCCGGATACTGAACTGTGATTCATTTTTTCAGTTACAACATTTGGATAGTGCTAGTTATAACTTAAACTAATTCTCAGAATTCGGATTCCAAGAAGACCTTTACGCAAGACAATGTTCGTAGCTGGATCTTTTATTTGTGATGGTTATCACAGTAAAAGTGAGCACAACAACAACTAGCCTAGGAACAGGCACCTCCCCCACAAGCCCATTGTTTGCTCAGCATATGTTTTCTGCCCAAGCAACTGAGGTGAGCTCATGCCATGCTGGCAATACCGCTGAGTCTTTTGCCCACATGGGAGAAAGTGCCAGGCATGGCTCCGTGCCTTGGAGGATACCTGAACCTCTACCCCTGTCTAGGATCCAGTTCCTTCAGGGACAGTGCAACCCCTCTAAGATACAGTCTTCTGAGTTCTCAGTTATCACTTACTAATAGTCACACTACACACTAAGACAGGTGCTATCTCCAGGATCTATGCAACTGCGAGCAAGATCAGAAAAGAGTCCCTGATGTGCTAGTAGCACCAGTGGTTCTTAGGTTGCCCCCAGGGGAAAATAATGCACATGTTCAGAAAGATCTCTCAAAAGCTATTAGTAATGTTAAGTAGGAGCTCTATGTAAAAAGGCAGTATAGTGGCTCTGGGCATGAGTTTCTACTTAAATGTCTCAGCTAATATTCATGAAAAATAAGTCCACTAATACCTTGTCCATGAATTACCATGTCCATGGAATAGTAGAGTGCTCAAGGCACATAATGCAGCAGAGTCTATCTGGTTTGTGTGTGCTGACAAGAAAATGTTACAGACAGAACCTTTGCAAAACTAATATGAGTCCTTTATTGTAAAGAACTCCATTCTAAGCAAGATTGAAATAGGATTCTAATCTAGTCTAACTAGCTAGGATGGATAGAGATACAGGAAACATGTCCTGGTCTCATGGTGGATGGAGAAGGCTAGCATAGCATCAGGCCAGAAGGAAAATTCCCTGAGAGTAGCAATCTACACATCAAAGGGATAGTATCAGAGCAGTAAAACAGAAGGATGATCATGGTCCTGGCCTATCTATTTCTCGGACTCTCATAGTCCCCTGTCTGAAGTCTGAGGCTAAGAGACAGCACAAAGTCCTTCACTTCCAACAGTCCCATCCTTTTAAAAAGGCCATTTAAGCTAACGGACATCTTTGGGAAGCATTCATTAAATTATGCATAGTACCTTACTTAGGCCAACCCTGAACCTATGTCCACTCAATTTCACTCAGGCTCTGTGAGTTTAATACAATGCTCTCCGTTTGTAATTGTATAAATTCCTGTGGTGTTCCCACTTGGCCATTTGGGTGTCTTTGTTTTATTTATTAAGCTGAAAACCTCAGCCTCTAGCCATTTTTCATAGAAATGTGCCACAGACCCCTGATTTAATTGCTTTTAAAAAAAAGTTTCTATTTTTTATTAGATTGAACGATTGCACTTGTGTTGCTATGCTACAGATTTATATAAATGGCACTCACCAGCTCTTTGCTCCTGGGAAGAAAAAAAAGGGGAGCGTGGGAAGAATCTGAAGAGAACTAAAATTTCCTGTTCAACTATGAAAGTCAATACAGATTATTGTTCTCTTTGTGGACAAATATGACCATTCTGGAGGCTGCGCTATCAATGCATGAACACAGCATATCAAACCACAAAACACGACATACTATCATTGTATCAGTTTTACACTAGGTACCTGGCAATTAAAGTATCTTGGCATTCATCCACGCCTGCACAGCTTGTGACCCACCAAGCCAAACAGTTTACGAACTTCCAGCCTGGTACTGTAAAAACAGGGAGAACTGCCTGCCCCTGGCAAACTGCAGTACTCTGACTGCCCTCAATTTGGCGGGTTACATTTTTGCAAGGGTGTATTAATTTATGCAAAACATACACAAACCCACTTCACTTTAGTAACTAGGTTACCCTTACTATTAAAAAGCAGGCTGTTGAACTAGAACCACTGAAGAATTTTAAAAGTGACAAACCAAAGTAATTTTTAAAAAACTGACCCTTAACCTGAGCCCAAATTTTAACAGTTCAGCTCCCAGCTAAAAAACCATAATGAATCACTTTCATAATGAACTTCCCTTGGACTGCAGGCTTTCAACCAATTTCAAACAGATCACAGTTCCTTCTGTTTGACTTACTGAATTGTTAGGATGTGGCTCAAGGTAGAAGTATCATTGAAGCTACCTACCTACCTTTCTCTACCAAACCAACTTTCCTTATTCAAAATGAGCAATTAGAACAGTATAACTTGTTAATTAGTAACTTTTCTCCAGCATATAAAATTTCACTTTAGGACACTGTCAGCTGGAGAACAAGCTTTATGGGTGTGTGAATGTCACACACTTATTTCCCCCCCCCCCTCCAAAGACAAAGGCCTGAGTAGAACCTTGCTGCCACCAAGGTCCTCCAGTAACATGCAAAGCTTCTGCTCTGGTGATTATTGTGGAGCGCCCTTTACATTCGAACACTTATTGAGAAAGAACAACACGAGGGGTGTGCCCTGAGACAGCAACCACACCAAACAGGTCTGCGGTTAGCAAACTCAGAAGGAAATATGTTTGGTTGGAACCATTTTGCATTCTGTATAAATTGGACTTCAGATTAACAGGAACCTGCTGACTGGCCTATATGCATGAGAACATACTCTAGTTTTCTTTGGTATACTTTTTATTCTCTCCTTGCCCTATCATTTTTGCAATGTTGCTAAATACCAACCTTTCTTTGAAAAACCCTAGCAAGGAATGCATTCCCCCTAAATTAAAAAAAATCAAGGATATCTATCTCAAGACTTTTTGTAAAACCCTTTTAAATATATATATGTAGTTCTGAACAATAGCCCCAGAGAACAGAACAAAAAAACATCCATACAATAGGGCCATATGCAGTTGGGACAGGGCTCTACGAGCCTGAGTGAAATCCCTGAACTTATTTGTGTAAAAATCCCAGAATGACAATGAAACCCCAAACCCATACCACAGGGCGGGGTGGGGGTGAGGACAGATCTTAGGATGCACCATTTCAAGATCTCAACCACCATCAGAAGGGTTGCTTAGCAACCACACACATTTGTTGAAGGTAATCATAGTCACCATCAGAAGGAGAACCAGGCAGTAGTGGCAGAGGGCAGCAGAGAGCAAGGGGGAAGACGTAGCAGCAAAAGGAGAACATGGCAGGAGGATGAGTATCGAAGGGGGAGAGAAACAGCAACTATAGATGGGGCAGCAGAGAGGGAAGGAAGGAAGGCAGGCAGCAGCAAAAACAAGAAGAGGAAGCATGGGTGTGTGGGATTTTCTCTCCCCCAAGAGTTCCCACTTGTTTGTTCCTGTTTTTATCAGTGCACTCTCCATAAGTGCTCAGAAATACTGTAGGGCATAGGCCAACAAGTGGGACTTATTAAGGGAAATGATGAAAAATGTCCTCAAGTAAATTGCATATTACTTTCGCTGGTATCAGCCTGTGCAGATAGGAAAATGCTAGCCGCCAAAAAGGAATGTTAAATAGGCCTTCCTTATAGTCATGTATTTTAAACCCTTTAAGTTCAAGGAACTTTGCACACAGAATCTGTCACAGAACCTGTCTTTGCAGAGATTCTTGAAAGCACCGAAGGGAGCGCAAGGCTGTATTTCATCACTCTACTGTGTTAACTAAGAGCGCCCCTTGTACGCACTCACCAGTCCTCTGGGCATTTCTCCTAAATATAAGTCAATAGTGCCTTTAGAGAACATTTTATTTGCCATTGTACACCCTATTGAGGAATCTCTAGATTTCCTGAAATACATTTTATACTCTGCTGCCTTCTAAAGTGGCACTTAAACCCAAGACCGGGAGAGGGGGTCATGAAAATGGCCAAAATGTGGTTTTGGTCCTTTCCCTCCCAGTAATGTATGCTTGTTTAGAAAAAAATGCTTTATTTATCACACATAGAAGCTACATAAGTTTAGTGAAAACAACA